GACCCGACAGTTGGAGCGAAAATCAAAAACAAAAAAATCCAATCTACGTATTTGCCCCCAGTATCTATTCCTAATTTCGCAAGCAGGTCAACCACTAACATTTGCTTCCTTTACACGCTGGGCTTGGATCGTAAATAAATCCAAAAGAAAAGGGTAGTTTCGTCACATGACATTACACACACACTTCAAGCTCCCACAGTAATGACGTCCTGACGGCTGCGCGCCTCAACGAAACCGCCACCTGTTTCGCGCTTTTCCTGCATATTTTCCCGGAAAATTCGTGTCATTCCGTTAGGGAAAACGAGAGAGAGAGAGAGAGAGAGAGTGAGAGAAAAAAACTTCTTCTGAGAACTTTGCTAAGCTCGCCGGAAATGGCGATCCCCGAACCCGACCGCCGCCGAGCCAGGGCCGCGAATCCGGCGAGGGTACCGCTCCGGCGGCTTCTCCGCGTGGCGTCAGTGGCCGCTGGGATTCAGTTCGGCTGGGCTCTGCAACTCTCTCTCTTGACCCCTTACGTGCAGGAGCTGGGGATTCCTCACGCGTGGGCGAGCGTGATATGGCTCTGCGGACCGCTCTCAGGCCTTCTCGTCCAGCCTCTGGTCGGCCTCATGAGTGATCGAAGCACGAGTCGCTTTGGTCGCCGGCGGCCGTTCATCGTCGCTGGAGCGCTCTCGATCCTCGTCGCCGTTCTGATCATCGGCCACTCCGCGGACATCGGGTGGTTTTTCGGCGACCGCGGGCAGGTTCGGCCGAGGGCTGTCGTGGCGTTCGTGATCGGGTTTTGGATTCTTGACGTCGCCAATAACATGACTCAGGGTCCTTGTAGAGCTTTGCTTGCTGATCTTACTGGTAAGTCCCTTCAATTTTACTTTCTTTGTACGAGTCTCTATGTCTCCTATTTTCGATTGGATTAGAACTTCAATTCTGCTTCTTTATGTAGTTTTGATTGAGTCTTTTTACATCTTTGATGATCTTAAATAGTAAAAACTAGGAAATGATTGGCTATCGTTCTGGGCCATCATTCTGACTTCTGAGTGATTTGTCGATAAATAATTGTGGAATTTCTTTCTTTCTTTCTTTTTAAGTTATAATTTCCCCTAATTATTCTTTGTGATTACTTTATGTTTCGGAGATTTGGTAGTACAATTATTGAGGAAGTGTTCGTTATATCAGTTTTTCCGTATCAGATGGATTGAGTTATTAATTTACCAGGTTTGAAGTTGCAAAAATCAGTTACCGGCTTGATTATGAAATTGTGATTATCGTGTTTCATTGAATCTTTGTTTACATTCGAGGACAATGAGTTTGGTTGAACCTTGTCCGGTAAAAATTTCTTATTTCGATGAACTCCATCTCTTGGTGGGTTTTAATAAGGTTTTAACTCTTAAACTTTCTTAAAGGCTGTGTTTGGTAAGAAGAGAAAGAAAATAGGAAGGAAGGAAATATATATAACCTAGATGGGAAATGAGAAAAAGGGAGGGCTTCTCTTATTGTGGTTGGTATGGATTCCCTTGTGTAATCCTTCCGACTCTGGAAGGATCAAAAATGGAATCCTGGGAGGATTTTGAATCCCTCACTCAATCTACTTTCTCCGCTAATCTTTCCTACCAAAAAACCATAAATCTTAAAATCCATCCACTAATCTTCCTGACCCTATCCCTCTCCCCCTTACCAAACAAGGCCAAAGATTTGATAGCTCATACTGTGATGTTTAAATTTATATGATAGGGATGCTTATTTGTTTTTAGGGGTACAAAACTTCATAATGTATTTATAACCATGGGTTCTGTTAAGATTGTAAAAATAAATATTTTAGGAGGTGGGTAATGATGTGCTTATGATTTAATTTCAATGATAAAGAAATGAAGATATGTTATTCATTTGTATTCTGTGACAGCACATTATGTTTGCATATCTTGTTTTCATTCACTTTCTCAAGCGTAAGGTAGTGCATGAAATCTGTTAAGTTCTGTCTGACCTTTTTGTAATTTTATGCCTCTGAAAGCATAATGTATTATTCCTGTCTTTTTAGGGAAGGATCATCGAAGAACTCGAGTGGCAAATGCTTATTTCTCTCTGTTTATGGCTGTTGGTAACATTCTTGGATTTGCTACTGGATCGTTCAGTGGCTGGTATAAGATTTTTCCTTTTACCCTTACCTCCGGATGTGGCATTAATTGTGCAAATCTGAAGTCTGCATTCTTTCTCGACATACTGTGCATTGCGGTTACAACATTTCTAAGTATATCTGCAGCTCAGGAAGTTCCTCTAGGTTCAAACGACAGAGCCACACCCTCAATAGAAGAAGGGCGTGGAGAATCTAACCCTGCTCAAGAAGCTTTTCTTTGGGAACTATTCGGTACTTTCAGATATTTCTCAGGGCCTATCTGGGTAATCCTTTCTGTCACTGCTCTTACCTGGGTTGGATGGTTTCCATTTTTTCTCTTTGATACTGATTGGTTTGGAAGAGAGATCTATGGTGGAGAGCCAAATGATGGGAAAAACTACAGTACTGGAGTTAGAATGGGTGCCCTTGGTCTTATGGTGAATTCAGTTGTTCTTGGAATAACATCACTTCTCATGGAGAAGCTCTGTAGGAAGTGGGGCTCTGGTTTCATATGGGGAATCGCAAACATTGTCATGGCTCTTTGCTTTCTTGCAATGCTTGTTGTCACATATGTTGCCAAAAAAGTTGTCTTTGTAGGTGATGATTTACCTCCGAATGGAATTGTAATAGCTGCAATATTGATTTTTGCAATTCTTGGGTTTCCATTAGGGGTGAGTTTCCTCTTAATTCTTCCACTGTATGGAGTAGGATTTCTTTTGATATAATTTAGGCTTCCTTTCTTTCGATTACACTGTAAAATCTTCCTTCCACACCGCC